TCCCTCGGCAGGCAATGGCAAACCTGCCAGTGTATTTCTGCCATGAAAATAGCTTCTCATAAAAATACAATCGCCGTTCGGAGTCGGCGTAAAACTGTAGGTTCCTCCGTTTTGTGTGACAACATACTGCATACTCCAAAATACTGCATTTATACGAAAAATAAATTTTTTTGTTCCAGAAATTTTTAATGCACATTTACCAGCCATTGAAACAAAACGATATATGCTAACAGAGAATTGTGAGTGGATACACGTTATAAAAATGCATATGTGTAGATATCACGGTACCCTGGAAACAATTTCAACCCTCAAGTTGCTTCCCTTCGCCGATTCCTGATGCTGCTGTTTCGGGGGACCTCACTGAACATTTCCCAAAAAAAAAAGAGCAAAATCCGCCGGGCGTTTTTTTTCTATGGTAACTTTTACTAATTCAAATATTATATATATATTATGGTCACTTATAATCATTTATTGAACAATAAACTTTGCCAAAATCAGTTTTTGCTATTAAACAAATGACTATAAGTGACCATCAAGTCAAGGTGCACGAATGGTATTTTTAAAGGGATAGTAGCCGAGAGTTCTAGCTTTAATTTAAGCCCAAGTGGAAGGTTCTTTCCCTTTTGTTTTTTTTCTAGCGCTTCTCAAATATTGCAGAAAACGTTATTTTTTGATACTTTGACCACGTTTTTCTCAAAATCTAAAGCTGATGGAAAATTTTCGTAGATTCGTAATCAGCACAAAATGATCTCTCACAAACAGCTTTAACATTTTAGGAAACCAAGTTTTTCCAATTTTTGTTGGCCTGTGTAATATTTGAATTAGTAAAAGTTACCATAGAAAAAAAGCGCTCGACGGATTTTGCTCTTAGTTTTCGGAAAATGTTCACTGAGGTCCCCAGAAATAGTAGCAACAGGAAGCGGCGAAGGGAAGCAACTTGAGGGTTGAAATTGTTTCCAGGGTACCGTGATATCTACACATATGCATTTTTATAACGTGTATCCACTCACAATTCTCTGTTAGCATATATCGTTTTGTTTCAATGGCTGGTAAATGTGCATTAAAAATTTCTGGAACAAAAAAATTTATTTTTCGTATAAATGCAGTATTTTGGAAAAACCGTAGTATCTATTCTTTTTTGGAATCAAAATATATAAATATTATACTGCAAAAAAAATATAGATACGAACGTTAGGCATTCATCTAAATGTGTAAATGCCTCGCAACCGCGTAAATCTCGTAAATAAACCGGTTTTCCATACAAAATTAAGTAAGTTTACGAGGTTTATATGGTTACGAGGCATTTACGCGATTAGATGAATTGCCCTAAGAGGACTTTTTAGAGCGCATTTTTTCTCTTTTTCATGCATATTTCTATCCACTATGGTCATAACACTAATTCTGTGCCAAATTGTTTACCTGACCTTTTTTGTTATAGATAATTAATTAATTTCAATTTCATGGGTTTTGTGTCTACAAAATATGTGGGTAAATTCAAAAAATTATTTTGGTATTTTTTACAAGAATTAAATGGCATAACAATTTTTCTAATAAACTCCTCTAAAACTTTACTGATATAAAATAAAAATGGTCTACAGAAATGAAATAAAGTATACATATACACAATTTAATTTTTTGCCTTTTTGAAGCAATTTTTTTTTCTCACAATGCTAATAAAACAAAAGTCCCGTCTTTCCCATAAGCAAGTGATATTGAATATTTTATTTTTCTAAAAATTAATACAAACAAAGTAAAACCAGACAATAAAAACATATGCATAGACAGAAAAAACGACAAATTATTAGAAATGTTAACCAATTCTTAACTCACAGTAACAAATTATTTTCCATTCATACAAACATACGCAGAATATACACCAGTATGGTATGCATGAATGGCTTATTATAACGGTAATTAATGTTATCAAGAATATAAAAGTAAAACACGAAATACAAAAAAATACAAAAACTGTAGGTACCTAGTGTAAAAAAACACGAATAAAGACAAAATTATTTGTTTTAATACTTTCTTAATTGTGGGTTTGTACATACATATACAAAAGTATGTATATACATGCATGTACATATATACATATAACATATTTACTTTGGGCACTTGATATAGTACCAGATGGCTGCTGTTTAATTTTATTCTCCATTTATTACTTTACGGTTTGTTATTTTGTTTTTAATTTCAAATTTCATGCTGTAGTTGAAGGAAACGAACGTTCAACTACAAAAGAAAGTTGAATAAATTAACCAATTAGTGAGTAGTTGAATGAACATGTCGATGAATAAACCAACCTGAGGATTATAAACAAATGGAAAGCAATGCTTGTAAGTAAAATCGACAATTAGTAAATATTCATATGTGCAATTTTCAATCACGCTAACAGGTCTATTCTGCACTGGTAATAAAAAGTTTGTAACCGGTAAATAAAGTTTATGTAAATTTTTAAACCCTCTTCGCATTCTCTGTACTCTTTTAACCGGTAAATTTTGTTACCATCTCATAAGCTGGTAACAAAGTATTGCCCTGTGAAAAATGCAATGCCAGAATCTGCACAATTCTTCATAGCTGAATTATTTAACTGCATTACCTAACTATTATTGCTGAATATTTTAACTGCATTACCAACGAACCTAGAATCGCGGTGACAAGAACTGGTAGCATTTTTTGGTAATAAAATTTTCCGGTTACAAAATCTTCGGTAACGTGCAGAATAGACCTGTTAATGATGAACAGGATGTACGATTGCTATAAAACATGTATGTAAGTATAATACATACATATGTAGTACTTGAAGCGAAACTCGTACACCAGATGATGTATACATATGTACATACATACATCTTTACTCAAAATTTAAGAACAAAAAAGGTACAACTTTTGTATGCAATATTTCATAACTTTATTTGATTGACAGGATTGTACCAAAACAATTAGCTTAGTTTTATAAGCAACATATGTAAGTATATATACGAAAGATAGTTAGACTGTGATCTATTCGGTACCACTTGCTCTAATAAGTAGCAGCCAAATTCAAGTACAGCAACTATTACTGACTGCAGCAGTCGAAATGACAAGAAAAAAATATCTAATCGAGTGAACTAAAGTCGCCTTCCAGACAAGATCTAGAAATTATTCCAAAGGACAAGGGCGAAACCTGAAATTATTCCGATGATCCATTAGAGTGCGCATTAACCAACGAAAAATTAATAAGTGGCGATTATCTAAACATCATGGGTTGCCTTTTTTAAGAAGCAGTCAGTTGACATGTATGAACTTGTCATGGCTAAACCATCACAACTATGAAATAAGCAGATCCATTTACTTGGACGAGCGATAATGCTTTGCTCCGGAAAACCTTAAATCCACAAATGTTTAGAAACCTGTATTTCAGTTATAAATTTTAACTTGTTATCCTGCGAAAAAAAAACTGTTTGTTTGATAAATAGAAAGGACGAATAGTACAACACCGACGGAATCGTATACAATATATTTAAATTTTATTCAACGTTATTATACAACGTGTAGACCAGCGGTTCTTAACCCGGTATCACGTATGAAAACGCAGAGAAAACTAGTACCATAAAACTAAAAAAATAAAAGATCTATGTATGTACGCATCAAAAATTTATCTTCAAAAACTTGTCAAAAATTTTGGCATTGACAGCATTTCGTCTTACTAAAAATTCCGTAGCTTACTTCAGAGGAGAATCTTCTTTAGCATGTATTTTGGGCATTTAATTCCGAAGATCTATTTTCGTAAGATTATACATACATCCTTACTATTCAAAATGTTTTTTAAGGAAAGTAGCACGCGTGGAATAGTCTGAGAAGCGCTAATATTGTCAAATATGTATATGTATGTACGTATGTACATATTTCACCTTAGCTAAGAAATTCCGCGATTAACTTTTGTTTTCGTAATTGCAGCTCCAAACTATTATGATCATATTGCACACAATATGTATTTATGTAGTTTTCTCAGCGACCAATTCAAGCTTAACTATAATTGCAAAATAGTACTCCTCGCGTAGGCCAATTGAAAAACGTGACTGGCGCAAAAGTTGGCAAAAAATAATTGTGTAGTATGTACGTATGTATGTATGTATGTATGTTCGCATGTCTGGAAAGTTCCCAAAATGTGTCTGCACAGGTGATTGTGTAGGTTTATTTACAAACGCTTACAGCTAACAAAAACAAACAAAAATACGAGACAAAAGTAACAAATATTTGTTAATTGAAATGTTAGACCGCAAACAACAATATTTCGAGTGGTAACAATGATTGAGAGATAACCATATTAGGCCATTCATTAAACACATATCTACATATCGCACCCTAAATCAAAAACAGGTTGAATATACAAGAGCACTCGATGGTAAACAATAGTAAACAAAAGAATTTGAATATAATTTGTAAACACTTATGGCCAATTATTTTAAACAAATGTTAACATGGTGGCATGCGAAACTTTTTTGCAAAAAAAGTTGAGGTGTAGATGTAGTCATAGTAAGTATGCACATGTGGTTTATATGTATTGCGTATGTATGTATGCATTTATGCGTTTTGTGTGTGCATTTATTTGTGTACAAACAAACCCTCCAAATAAAGAATTTATCAAGCACCTTAGAGCCCTTTTTTTATCTAGACCAGTGCCATTTGTACTGGGACTGCATTGCTTAATATATCTCACAATTATTATTGCCTTCTGTTTTTCTTTCTTTCTTTTTACTAAGAAATTGTAATCAATTTAACCAAAACCAAACTTTCTTCGTTGGCGGCGTTGGAGAGCGCGATTGCGTCCATTGCTGCACCAACGATGAACGTTTCTTCGGCGGTGAAACGGGTGTTGGTGATTGCGACGATCGCGTTGAACGTGACGACGACGGTCGCGGCGGTATTGTAGGCAACCGTAGCCGTGTTAAGCGGAAGGGCCGTTTCTTATCGGCATACACGACCGGTGCATATAGCGTGTCTTCGTAGATAATTACCTCGTTAATATTCTTTTGGTATTGTAGCGCTTGATTCTGGCAGTCCTCACGATCCAGCTCCCGTTCTATCATCAACTGCTCAATATGTTTTTGTTTCTCATGTAGTAAATCCTAGCAAAAGTAAACGAGATAAAAAGAAAGAAAATTGGAAGAAAAAAAATAAAAATTATGAACCATAAATATTTTAATGCAGCATTTACTCAACTGTGCGACTTAAGATTACTGAGGCAAAGTGACACACATTAACATAGACAACAGTTGAAAATAGTGTAATCGTAGTTACAAATGATACACATACTCGGAACAACAATTACCACCAAAGCACTTACCAAAATTTACAGAGGTAAAAACGTAAACCAAATTTCCAAAAAAGTACGAGAAGTGATTTCGAAAATATATCGACCCCTTGCGCAAAATTATCGTATGCTACATTTTTTACGAAATTAACTTTTTGATGCAACTTTGTTTTACAACCCATAACGCATCACCTGTTCAAATATTACTGCTTAAATCCCAATAGCTACCCCAAAAATTAGGTTTGTTCGTCGAGCAAAAAATTTGTACGAATTTGTACGAATTATCATGATTTTTGCCCAAATCGCGTTCGTGCAGACCAAAAAAATATCCATCACTCAAAAACTGAGAGCACAAAGTGACAGTTCTCCTGAGAGAATTCGCAAATTCTTGCTGGAAAAATGTTAGCCAGCAAGAATTTGCAATCATGAAAAACATATGATTTTGGCACCTGGTTGCATTTTTGTCTACGATAATTTGAATAAATAAGTTCGTTAAATTTAAAAATTTATAAACGCGAGCGATTTTTTTATGAAAAAAGGAAGTAAATACTTGTTGATATAATTAATTTAGTTAATTCCAATGTTTTAAACTTAACTCGGCTGAAAAAAATTGTATTTTTCAATCGGAATGCAATTTGCAACCAGAGTCGATTTAAGAAACTAGACAGCTAGTATGATGAAGAAATTGAAATGTATGTTAAAGAAAGTCAGAATAACAAAAAATATACATGTATATCCTGTTTTTGTCCATCTGAAAGAATTTTAAAAATTCTATAAAAATTTATTATGTTTGAAATGCAACCGTGGACACCAGCTGGCAGGGAAACTTGCAAATTCCTGCAAATTTGCGTTCGTGCAGAAATTTGCAAGTTTCTCAACATGAGAGAGAATTTGAGAGAATTTTTTCTTACTCTCTGATATTTTGAGTTTTGGATAATTCTTACTGGATTTTCGACGAACAAATCTAATGACTGTAAATTTTATCGTATGTGACAATGAATTTTTTCTTCTGAGAAATTATCATATGTGCTAAGAAATTAGAACGTAGCGACTTTTCTACAAAAAAAAACTTGTGTTTAATTATATTTCTCAATTATCTCAGCAAATCTAAACTTTGGTATTAATCGTGCTAGCCAAAGCAGAGAAACATACAAAAAACACTTTCCTGTAAAATCTGGTTTTTGTTATTTACATACGATAATTTTGCGCAAAGGGGACGATATGTATACGTATGTATAAAGAATTTAAAGATAAATAAATTATGTATGATTTATGTATGTATGTATGTATCTGTGACATTTGGATAAAAAAAAAACTGAAGTGCCTATAGAAGGTTTGACTTTGGATTAATTAAGAATAAGTTTGCCTTCAAACATTTTATATTTTTAATAAGCTTCTATTAAAAGGGCATCTTAAACTACATCTGTGCTAGTTAATCTTTAAAACTTAATTTATCAAAATGTCACGGATAAACATATGTACATGCATGCATAGTACATATTATGCTTAAACCCCGTTTTATTCGATTCTCCTAATTAGATGATAAAACTTATTTTTTATCAAATATGAAACCAATTATTTTTCTCGAAGCAGTTTGCTTTTTTTATTTTTCAAACATGTTTACTTATAAGTGCGATGTCCATGCGTACCGATTTTGGCGGGACAGTACCGATTTTGAGAATATTTTTTAAAAGTCGGGACGTACAAGTGTCCCGATATTTCATATTTGTACCGATTAAATCCCGATTTTCAGTGTCTCCCTGTACTCTGGCCCAAAAACAATTTAAGGGAGCCATAAACATATTTTTTTTTGTTGAACTGGTATTCTCGCTATACATATTGTAGTCTTTCATTCTTGTCTAAATTTTTTAGGTTTGTATAACTATTTGTTAAGTTTTTCTTTTTAAGTTTTAAGTTTTTCTTTTTTCTTTTTTTAAAAAAAGGGTTTTTCTTAACAGCGGTCGCCCCTCGGCGGGCAATGGCAAACCTCCGAGGATTTCTGCTATGAAAAACAGCTTTTCACAGAAATGCAATCGCCGTTCGGAGTCGGCGTAAAACTGTAGGCCCCTGCCCTTTGTGTGACAACATCAAGGCGCACGCCCCAAATCGGAGGAGAAGCTCGGCAGGTAATACGAAACTACTATCTATCTATCTATCTTCTATATACTTATTTCTAAAAGGTATTGTTCTGTTACCAAACGATATCTCCTTTAATATTTTATCAAATTTAATGAATGATATCTCATTTTAAAGGTGGGAAGCTAAAGTACTGCGAAAAATAGTCACTTTGTTCAAATTTAGTTATTAAATTAAAAAATGGTTTTAAAAAGCTGAAAACATTGTATTCGGTCAATAAAGCGCCATATCTTCCATAATACTACTTCAAATTGGAAGATTGAAACACTATTTTGAGGCACAGCTTCACCGGTTGCGGTAAAAAATAAAAATAAAAATTAGTAGGGTTGCCACCCGCTTAAAATTTGAGTGACTTAAATATATATCGAGTAAAATATTGCAACGCATCCAGGGAATAAAATGCATTTAAATACACTCTTAACCAAAAGTAATAATTGAATAATGAAGAGGGTTGCCTACTATTCATAAGTTTAAATACCACGCGGTAAATGTGCCACTGGAAGTCGTTAAGTGAATAGTTGGTGGAAGTGTTGTACCAAAATTTTCCAACAAAATATTAATTTTGTGCGACACGAAGTTCGCTGGGTACGCTTGTCTATTATTATTATTGTTTTTATTATTATTTTTATTATTATTATTATAAAAAATAATACTAATTCCCTCAAAAAAATCATGGATATGAAAAATATAAGCTAGACACAGTGGCGAAAATAAAAATAAGGAAGAGACATTTTAGCATTCTTTGGCTATTCCCCTTTCGCTTATTTAATCTTTATTATTTTTTTAAGAAACTGTAGATCGTTATCTAACAAAGACAATGTAAGTCAAAAATTCAAACATTGTACAAAAATTAGCGAAATTCGGCAAAGCTTCATGAAAATTTTGAGCTTAAATAGATTTCTTAAAAACATTCTCAGTACTTATGCAGTTCTGTAGCCCATTCATTTCAATGTGCAAATTTTATGTAGCTAGGACTTACCGTGGATTTTTGTCAAATCTTTTTTGTCGAAGGTGTTGCTCACTTTCTCCATACAAAAAAATTGTTGAACATACTTTGTATAAAAGAAAATGCGCGAACAAAAAATTGCCAAAAATCAGCGGTAAGTCTTAGGTACACTCTAAAAAGTGCATGTAAAACTACTACTGAAAAGTGTTTATTTTTCAACCAGAATCTGTTCAAGTATACGCACAAGATGTTCAAGATTTGATTTTGAACATGAGTTGTTTAAAATATACACATGAAATGTTTAAAATTACAAACATTTTGAAAGTAAAAATCTATTTTTTACAAATAATAAATACTAAGTGCCAGGGGCGCACGCAGGAATATATTTTTGGGGGGAAAGGGTTTATACTTATAAATATATATCATCAGCAAATACTGAAAATTCGGTCTTTAAAATACATTTATGAAAGTTTTATTTACAGTATGAAATAAATAAATAAACTTTTTAAAGTATCATCAATTGCATTTTATTTACATAAAATTTACAAAGAACTCAGACATTTTTAACCGGCTTCAAAAAAGGGGGGGTTATCAATTCTTCGGAGTATTTTTACTTCTTTTATTTATTCCACCGCATAACTTTGCACCGCGTGAACCGATTCCAATAATTATTTTTTTTACCGGAAAGATGGTACCTTAAGGGTCGTCTCGTAATTTGGTTTAGATCCGATCATTAAATCATGAAAAAATTAACGGTTAAAGATGCACTCAACTTTCAAAAGTAATACAAAATTTTACAAAAGAATTTTGATATAAATAAATTAGATAATTTCACGAACTTTTTACACTTGTTTTTTAATTTTCGTCGATTTCTGGTTTTTCATTTTTTAATAATTCGAATAACGAAAATTTAACTGAACTTGTATTTTTATCATGTAGCTCATTTTGGTGGAACGAATTCGAAGTTAGCAAATTAAATCTTCGAATGCTTATTAAGTACATATCAGTGGTAAACTTTTTTAGGCTGTAAAGTGTAAAAAGCAACAGTAAGTGAGTATGCATTGCATATTTTTAGGACAATGTTTTCATTCGCAGTTAAACTTTAAAGAGCTCTCAAGAAAAAAAGAAAAATTCTTACAAAATGACGCACAAGAAATGGAAAAGAAAATTTTTTCTTTCAAAATTTCTTATATCATAATAAATTTAGCCCCAAAACCCACCCCTTGTGTGCGCTACGTGACAAATTTGATATGTAAAAGTAAACAGACATTGTTTAATTTTGCACACACTAGGAGAGGAAACTGGTTACCTCTCTTTATATGCGTAAGTTTAAACGAAAATTATTTAGAGGAAATTTTAAACATTTTATGTGTAAACTGTGAAAATGTGAACAATAAATGTTTAAAACTCAAAAAACAAATTTGAAATTTGTTCTACGCCACACATATGATAAGTAAAAGTAAGCAAGCAATGTTTAAATTTGCATTCATTAAGAGAGGAAACTGGTTACCTATCTTAATATGCGCAAATTTAAACAAAACTTTTTTAGAGTGTACTTCAACAGTTGTTTTAAATAAAACTGTCTTAAAATCAGCGGTAAGTCGTAGCTACTTCAACTAACTTCACTTATACTAAAGTTTAATGGACTACAAAACTGCATGCAAACAATTCTAAAAAGTCGAATTAACTGCTTACAATTTTTATCAACATTTGTTAAAATTCGTCGAAATTTTATGAAGTTCTACAACGTGTGAAATTTTGACTTACATGTTTTTTTTTAAATAGTAAGTTATATTTTCATAAAAAATAATAAATATTTTTTAAACAAAGAAAAGTAGCCAAAAATTTGCTAAAATGTCTTTTCCCTATTTACATTCTCGCCACCGTATATGTTGTGTGTATACATTTTTGCGATAATTTTTCAAGTTCTTTTGTCTTTGTTTTGTTTTAAATAAAACTGTCTTAAAAAATGTAATGTCTTTTTATTCTAAAATCAAACCACAGATATCTGGTCACTTACTTATAAGATTACTTTGTACAAGTGTAGACCGAACCAAATAACTGAGCGAATTTCGTCAGACGCCCATATCTGAACAATCTCTTGTATGTGATATATAAGTTATAGTGTAGTATAACCCGATCTATGTCATTTTGACTGCGTCATAAGTGAAAACAGTGCGAAAGTCCTTCTATGTAAATGAAGGAGTTAAAACGCAAAACCTCAGATATATCTAAGAAATTAATTATATGGGGGCTATGTGTTCTAGTGCTCCGATTTTGCCGGTTCCGACAAATGATTAATACTTTATAAAAAGGCACAAGCTTACCAAATTTCAGTCAAATATCTCGAAAGCTGAGGGACTAGTATGCGTTCACACAGATAGACAGATAGGCGGGCATGACTAAATACGCTCAGCTCGACGTTCTGATCATTTCGGTATACTATCTCCTATATGACTGTAAATTTTAATTTTTATAATCAAAGTAAAAGCAATCATTTTTGATTCCAATCATAACAGGTTGCAATATAAAGTATATTTTTCGATTGCAATTTTTCACAGCTCTGATATACACATATGAATTAAATATGCAAAAATTAATTGATCAAAAATCAACTCATATTTTTACAAAAATACTGTTCTCGATTAACAGGAGATCAACTAAGAGTAGCAAGGAGTTTTTTTTTCCGGGATCAAACTATTTAAAGGTTGGTGGAAGATGAGTAGAAACAAAGGACACGGAAGAAAAATTGGAGCTCTTGATCATCCTCCAGTATCGGCTGGGAGAAGTACGCAGTGTTGTCAGATTGGGAGAGCATCGAGTTTTGAGATAGCGTTGTAAAATTTCTTGAAATCAAATTATTTTTCTAATAAATATACATATAAGTAAATAAATGTTTTATCACTGGTAAGCAGTCTATTCTACAATTTTGTACCCTTTCAGAACTGGATCAATTTTGTTATTTACGCGGTATGTATGATTTTCGAATCGATTATATGGTATAAACACAATCAATGCTATTAAATACCGTGATGTGGTGAATAAAAATAAAAGTTAAAAACTCAAATCAATCTAATAAAGACACTTTTCTGTTGGCAGTATTAAAAAAAAAAAATATTTCTATATTTCACCTTTTGCTTTTTAAGTGAAAACAAAAATAAAATTAAGGTTTGTATGTCCGGTTTAAGAAATTAAAAAAATTTTCATTGGTAGAATTACCACTTTTTATACCCGAGCGCACATGTGCACAAGGGTATATTAACTTTGTTCACATAACGGTTGTTTGTAACAGCCAAAACGAATCGAGATAGATATAGACAAATGTATACATAAATGCTAAGAATGAAAAGAGAAGTCGATTAAGCTATGTCTGTCTGTCCGTCCGTCCATGTACACTCGAGCAAAAATGGAGATATCTCAACGGAATTTGGTATGTAGGTTTCTATTTATCCACGGTAGGTTGGTATTGAAAATGGGCCAAATCGGGCTGTAACCACGCCCACTTCCCATATAACGGAATTTTCAGAAATACGAAAACTGCTATATTTTAGCAACTACTGAAGGTTATTCACTCAAAATTGATATTTACAATAATTTTTAGACGAAAAATAAGAATATTATAAATTTTTGGAAAATGGGCGTTGCCACGCCTACTTATGGTTACATGTGTATATCTTCGTAACCGCTGCACCAATTTCTTCCAAACTTTGGACAGTTGTTGGCCTTGGTACAGCATACCAAATGGCCGAAAATTTTTAAAATCGGACAATAACCACGCCCACATCCCATATAACAGTAATTTAGAGAAATACAAAATCTTCGATAAATCAGTAAATATTAAAGCTTATTTATTCAAAATTGATGCTTGCAACAATTCTTTACCAAGTAATACGATTATGATAAAATTTTGGAAAATGGGCGTGGCGCCGCCCACTTATGATCACATATATGTATCTCGGTAACCGTTCTACCAATTTGTACCAAACTCGGTGTGGTTATTGTGCTTGCCACATAAAAGCAAAACGTTGAAAATTATTGAAATCGGACTAAAATTACGGCCGCTTTTCATATAACGGTAGATTTCAGAAATGCTTGAAACTTCAATATTTCGAAGTTTAAGGACGCTAATTTTCTCAAAATTGATACACCCCGGCTTACCATATAGCGGTAGCTTTCGGAAAGGTGAAAAACATATATTTAATACTTGCGCCGGGTATTTAATGTTCGGCTCCGCTCGAACTTAGACTTTCTTACTTGTTTAAACTCATATTATTTAAAATTCTTTTAAACGAGTGAATCGTGCAGAACGAGGTTCAAGTGTGTGTACATGTGTATATGCTTTTGCATATGCAATGCGATTTTTGATTTTTTTTTAAGTGATTAACTGGAAGCCTGTACAACAAATCAATCGAAACCAAAATAAGCCAATAAAGAGTCAATTGCATAAAACCATTACCATTCTAAGAGCCATTAATACCGTTAAAATACTTACTAATACATCCACGTAGTTGCCAATAAGAAACTATTGCATAAGTATTTCAACAATAATGTAGTGAAACAGGTAACGCAAGGTGCCAAGTTGGACAGTGTTGAACTAAGCAGGGAGGGTGCCAACAATGCATGCAATTTTTAAATGATGACCAAAAATTTTCATGAAGCAGCACTCAAAACCAAAGTTCAATTTTTCAAAAACAAATAATAGTGAATTACGACAAAACCAAAAGTAGCGTGCGTAGCGATAGATAGGATTTGTTTTATTTTTTCATAAAAAAATAATAATTTTAATTTTAATTACATTGGTTTTTTGTTAGTAAGTACTTAGCACAGCTTAAAACTAGATTTTAGTTGATAAAACGTAAATATCAATAAACTGAAACAGAAAATAATGCCAATCAAAAATAATAATAAAAACAACACATTCGGAAAATACCAAAAAGAAATAAATATGTAAATAATTTCCAAGGGGTGTGGGAAAAATAACGGTGTGAAAATTAGTGTAGTGAGGATATTCACACAAACAAAGGGAAAATTAAGCAAGGACCGCAAACTTATCTATTTTAAAGTATAGTTAAATAATTTCTATGGAATTTTCTGTAGTTATGTTTAACTAATGATTTAACTATACTTTATAATTGATAAGTTAAGGGCCCTAAGAGTAAAAAATTGGGCATTAACTTCCTTCGTCTTTGTGTCCATACAAAGTTGTACTGATGTTTAAACGCGATATTTTACTTAAAAAAACGCGCTACAGACACATTCAATACGAGTATATTTGATTGTGTGAATATCCCTTGTCAATTTATGTTCACAAATGTAGACCAATTCAGTTTCAACGTACAAATCTAATGCAAAATAATATAGGAAACATTTAATATGTATACACAGTTACAATCTAAATAATAGAATCAAGATTCAAAATGATGCTGTTATTTTGACCGTAACTGTATGTACTTTCATCTATATGTACACAGGAATGTTTTTGAATAAATTTCCCGATTTTAAAAATCCGCTTATGTAAAATGAATTTGGCGTACCTGCATGGAATATTGAGATTTTGGTGTGGCAACGATCGGCTTGATTGACAAAGGTTTGCGCTGCATGAAAGAATAATTCATAATTTGGTTATTGTTAATTTATAGGATTAGTTGTGTGTGGAAATTTAAATTTTAAAACTAGAAAATAATTTTAAACTCATTATTGTTTGCTGTTTGGGAACTTTGTCAATAAATTAGCTTTCAGCTTGTGAATGCTGTGGATATTAATTGGTTGATAAACGCCAACTGATGTTCATCCAAACAATTTGAATTTTATACCTGTGCACTCATGCGCAAGCGTGATGTATTCGTTGTGGCAATGCTGTTCATTGTGCCAATGGAAGTTAGAGATTCTCGGGAGCCCGTTCTGGAAAGTCGCGATTTCTTCGACGAAGGTGACAGTGAGACTTTGGCGATCGGAACAAATACTCCATATTTTGGTTTGCATTCGAAATAGCTGTAGTGGGAAAGGGTATGTATATGTTTATTATGTTAATATTAAAGGATGTACACTGGCAATCAAAAGTGAGTGCATGGTGTTTTTTTAATATTTGCAATGTTTTTCAAGTTAATTTTTTTTTTTAAATATGATTCAGGCTCTAATTAAAACCACATATGTAAGTCAAATTTTCAAACTGTATACAGAACTTAGAAAAATTCAACGCGATCTTTTAGACGCTTAAAACTTGATCTTGTTTCACTAGAACTAAAAAACCGATATATCTGCGTACTCAAAATTGTTCTAAAAATTCAGATTAAAAAGGTCAAAATTTAGACAAAATTTAGACAAAAATTCTTTGAATTTTTCTAAGTTCTGTATAAAGTTTGACTTGTATGGTTTTGATTAAAGCAAGAACCATATTTTTATAAAAAAATAACAAAAAAATTTTAGCTTGAAAAACATTGCACATATTAACAAAAGGCACCATGCACTTAGGGCTGGTCTCTACAACTCGACTTAGCTTAGTTTAGCCAATTTTTTAGACTTAGTCATGAATAAGCTGTGTAAAAATTAGGCCAACTTTTGACTTAAGTCCGAAAAATGGCTAAACTAAGTTAAGTTGAGTTGGAGAAACCAGCCCTTACTTTCGATTGATAGCGTACATATGCATGACGGTAAAATGGCAGATGTGCTAAGCAACACACGAGCTTTATAATAAGAATTATTTTTATGTTATGTTATCGATTTATGTTCTTGATATATATGTATCTTATATCTTTATATTTATAGATATCATTGCCATTATTTCTGGTCTCTTGACGTATTCAGTTACTATTTTTTTATCAGATTCTACTACATTTTACTGAAAAACATTCCTATACTAAACAAAGGGAAAAGAGAGCAGAAATGATTTTTTGCTTGTCAAGTAATAAATCAATAAACCAGTTGAGTTCGACAATAAAAATCGAAAATTGTTTAAAGAAATATACCTTCTTACTTTTTTACTGTGACCCAAAACAAATAAATTAACGGCCTTTATCTATATCATTTGAACGAAATAGAATCTTATATTCTCCTTCCATTTCGATACATATAGCCGACTAATCAGGGCATAAATCACGTATGACGATAATCGTCTGACGATATCATCTTGCCGATTGTCTTGCTTCATGAAAACCAAAAACTGTTTGATCGTTTGTGCGATATCGTCAGCTCGATTCCAATTTTGCTTCGCGTATCTGTTTGAAATACCACGTAGCCAGTATTAAATAAACGTGCGTTCTTGCACGATAGTGAGTTCAGTATCGTTTAAAAGAAAAAAACATTTACATATTTACATATTTTTTTTATATTTTTTCTTTTTAAGACCGGAATTGAAGAGATAGCTTTAATCCTTTATCCTTCCAATATATGCAAAAATATGCAATGACATTTTTTTTTGTTTCTGACAGTAATTTCAGCCGATTTCATTGCCTCAACTTAAATTCCTGCAGTATTAATATACATATCGTCATTAGACACGAATATGCATATGTGTATGTATGTAAATTCCCCAAAGAGTTTTTGGGAATTATGCTGAGGTGAGAGTCCTTGGCCACGTATAATAGCCCTATTATGTATAGCAACCGGTGTCTAGTTGCTTTTTAACATGTACATTTCGAAGTAATTGGCAACTTTGCTCCAATGTGTTCAACAATTTATGTAAACAAAAAACAAAATCGTCATAAACGGTAAACTGAAAATTGTGCTACTAGACTCAGTAGCTGACGGTCAGTAGCCAGTTGCCATACGTAATGCGAATTTTAGTATACGGTTGGCCATCGGCTATTAGTCGCCATACAAAATAGGGCCATAAACAAGCGCGCCTTTATTCGTGTCTAGTGACAAAATATCCTCCTTTGGATTCCTTAACGAAGGTGGCTATCAGTAGTTTGTGTTAACTAAAACACACCACCGCAGGACCGTTTATGTTGTCGTTACCCGTAGAGAGATTCTCTCTCTCTATCAACAGCAATTTGATATGTTGATATGTACGGATGGGCGCTCCGTCGGTGGGTGGCTGAACTAAAAGAATAATTTGAATATGAGCACAAATGGTCTGTGGGCAAAAAGGAATATTTTTACAGACGATGCATGGGTTTTTTAACAGAAATGCTCTTCGAAAGTATCGTAAATGTTCCAAGTATGCTTTAATTCTCGCTACATCCTGTAACTAAGCGTGCGTTATTGTAAAGAGAATATCCATTATGTTCTCTTTACATTTCTTAGGTCCAGGCCACGAAATGAGCGGCTGAGCGGCAGGGGGGTGGTGGGTGTTAAACTACGTGTCAGTCAGTGGCAGAGCCACGGGGGTGTTTTAACACCCAAAACCCGGTTGAAATATTTTTGTGGGATTCCAGAAAAAGTTATAAGTTTCCGACAATTCAAAGCATTTTGGCGTAGTTACAAACCCCAAAAAAACGTATTTATCGCAGTTGGATATAAAAAAATTTGAATAAAAATTACGTTTACCACATCCGAATCACTTTATGATTTTTTAATTAGGTACATGAGTGTTATGAGCACAAAATAACTTTACAGAAAATCTCACGAACCTTACACCATCCACAGAGCCATCGTTTTTACCCGAAGGTTCATCTAATTCCACGCCACACCAATTGCCCGAAGCAAACTGTGTTTCGCCCAAATAACGTAAAATACCAGGACGGCTGCCAAAACCAGATGACACAATAATGCGATCACCTACTGTCAATCCATTTTCTGTTTACGAAACGAAATAAAATTATAAGTTAAAAAATATTTATTTCAAAATGTATTATTCAGGGAACTGGGAACTAACGTTTCCGGAACGTTTTGGAAAAGAACTAAAAGGGAACAAAAGACTAAGGAACTTTCTATCGAAGAACAATTTGGGAACTAACGTCTCAGGAACTTTGTGACCGAGAACGAGAGGGGAATAAATCTTCTCTGAACTATTCGCGAAGAATGGAAGCAAGAACAAATTTTTTCACATAGCGTTCATTAGTTTGAAATGTTTGAATATTAAAATTAATAAAAAAAAACTAAAAGATAATTATTAAAATGAAGTCAACGAAAGACTTAAGATACGAACTTTTCTTGCCCAAAACATTAAAAATTGTTCCATAAAAGAACAGTTCATCCTATTGATAAAACGATCTGGAAGTTGAAATGTTACAGGCTTTCGTCGGGCATAGAATTAACAATCGTGGTTCTCACTGAAACGATTTTACATCCCAACCAATCATTCTTAACGTTAAGTTCTCAAAACTTTTGCTCTCGTTTGGTTTTACAGCAAATCGTTCCCGAGACTTTTGTTCTTATTTGATCCTCCTTGAAAACGTTCTCGATACATCCGTTCTCATTTGAAACTTTCGGGAAGTTTCGTTCTTATTATATTCTTTTTGAGAGCGTTTCGTTTTGTTCGCATTTTGTTCTTTATGCAGAAGTAAACCAAAACTGGAACACGTTCTCGGTCCTTGCTATTATCTGTATAAATGAGTTATTTCACAGTATCAGACTTACTGCTAGGACTCCGTAGGAACGAGCTCCGCACGCTGGCAGTTGGTGACACTGTGCGTGAACGATCTGGCGACATTTTGGATAGCGGAGAAGTGGGCGTTTGTGCGCCGGAAAGCGGCGCCAAAGTTAGACGCGTGAGGCGTGAGAAAATACCACGCTTTGGTTCACACTGAAAGTAACGTTTACCAGCGACGCAGCCATCGTTTTTGCCTGTAAAACAATAAAAAAAACGGATTAAAGTTCGTGGGATGTATGTATAAGTAACTGTATGCTTACCATTTGGTTCATCCAGTACGATACCAGCCCATTCTCCGGGTGCGAAATGTGTCTCGCCAATGTAGGCTATCTGACCGGGACGTATGCCGCCAACCCATACTTTTTGACCAATAATAAACTGTTCTGTATCGTGTGTGAGAACGACTCCTTGATCTATTAAAGATATGTAAACAGAATATATTTTATATTTTGTAGCACATAGCCTTCGGCTAGCAGTTAGAATAATAATGATTACAATAAGATACCTATTTTTGGTTATTATTGCGATCCAAGAATTTTTTATATCAACAATGTTATTGAGATTTATGCCACTATTTGTTTTCTGGAAATTTAAAAAAAAGTTTTTTTTCTCATCCAAAAAAATCTGAAAGATTGGTCAGTCTAAGACTTCTAAAAGCAGGAGCTCTGGAGAGTCTATACATGATAATTGACATAAAGAGCAGCTAACGAAATTTTCCTCTTCATCATTATAATAACATTAGCAAAGATAATTTTTGAAGTGAAACTTCTTAATCGAGTTCGGAGATGATTGAGTTAAATATTTAACACCAAGTCATAAAATCTGTATCGTTCGTTCGCTTTTCAAAAATGAGGGTTCACATGAAAGGCCTTGTCCTTCGGGTGTGCAAAATAGCTTTAGTTCTATGAAAGGAGTGGCCACATGTTAAATAAACGAATTCAAAATTTCTCTGCCGCAGAGGGTTGCGTTAAATATTTAACACCAAGTCTAAAATCTGCATCGTTCGTTCGATTTTCAAAAATGGGGTGTCACATAAAAGGCCTTGTCCTTCGGGTGTGCAACTTACAGTGACGGGCAAAACTGTAACATGGTGTAACACTTTTTCCTTCAGTCATCGCTATCTTTCCAAGTTCTAACGACTTTCATACTTTTGTTGTATATTAATATTGGTACACCTGTGTTTCCTCTCTCATAATGATTTGAAGTCAATCCAACAACAATAAAACCAGCAGACAAATATGTAAATTAAGGCAGATGTTACAGTTTTGCACTCATATATTTTTAAGAACCTTTTAACAATTTTAACGAGAAAAAAGAACTACTAACACAATGTTCAGTACCCTTTTGCTTGTTTTAGTTTCTGGGTGCGATTTGGCATACCTTATTTTTATCTCTGTAAAACTTCTGGAGGTATATCCTCTATATATCCTTAGTTTGCTTTCACAGCTCATGTACTCGATTATACGGTCTTGGATACTTAATAAGCTGTGCTTCTAGTTGATTTCGCAAATTCTCGGTTAGATTTATGTCCGCGGATTGTGGAGGTCGTATCACATTAGCAAATTTTTTATTTTGTATCCCGTCTTTGCGAACATATGCAGTATGTTTTGGGTGATTTTTCAGCAGAAACTCTCATTTTTCGACTACATCTTGCAAATTTTGTTGAAATATGAACAGATACTGTTCCTTACGCATAATGCGTACTAACGGACCGACAAAATTGTTTAAATACAACCCCAAACTATTATTGACCGACCATTCTGATTCACAGTTTGCCTCACATGTTGCGCATACGCTTAATTTGGGTCTTTAATCCAATACCATTCCCGGCCATCTGATTGAAAGCAATGAATTGAGTCTTGTCAGACCAAATAACCTTCAATTGAAAATTAAAAATATGTTTTTTATTGCATCCTGAAAGGCCTAACATATCGCAATAGGCAACGGTTCGCTTCTCGGGCGACACAGTAAAATGCTACCACTCTCGCACATATATTTTGGTCAAATTAGCTTTTTTCTTCATTTAAGATGCCTTTGCGCCAATTTGGCAATTCGTCGCCTCGCTGTCTACTGATTTGCATTAAAGTTTAATACCTTAAGCGCTTCTGTAATAGTGGCTGCATCGCTACTTGCTGCTAAGTTCACAAGATATTGGACCGTAATATTTTTTGATAGACTTCCTTTGCCCTTGGGAACACTTTAGGTTATATTTTTTATCAATCTAAATATTTTCAAGTAGCAAACTCCACAATTTTTTGCCACTTTCCTGCGGTCCCGCCTTTCCACAGTAAATCTATTATTTACATTTATGGTTCCTGATTAACTATATTATTTACTGGTGATTACTTCTTCAATAAATTACAACACAGAAAAAAGTCATCTGACTTCCACCTAAGTAAAAAATAACTGTAAAATGCAAAACTGAGTGAGTGCAAAATTGTAACATTTGTCTTAATTTACATTTTTGTCTGCTGGGTTTTTTATTGTTGTTGTATTGACTTCAAATCGTTATGAGAGAGGGAGTAGGGATGTACCAAAAAGAATATACAACAAAAGGATGAAAGTCGTCAGAACATGGAAACATAGCGGTGGGTGAATTAAAAAGTGTTACACCATGTTACAGTTTTGCTCGTCACTGTAGCTTTAGTTCCATGAAAGGAGTTGCCACATGTTAGAAAATCGAATTCAAAATTTCTCTGCCATGAGGGTTGCGTTAAATATTTAACATCAAGTCTAAAATCTGTATCGTTCGTTCGATTTTCAAAAATAAGGTGTCACATGAAAGGGCTTGACCTGTAAATGTTCAATATGGTTTTCGTTTTTTAAAGGGTTGGAATATATACGAAAATCAAATTCAAATTATTTATTAAGTTAAATGAATTATCCAAATATGGGTATCAAAAGAAATGGTTTTGAATAAACTGTATTTTTCAGCCACATGTAAGAGGCTTGCCACCTGTTTCAAAAGTCAAATTTAGTTAAATTTTACAGAAGTCTTATGCATAAAATATTATACAGTAAGCGTGAACAGAAAGAGCTTAAAGAAACACAATTAAAATATTTTTGAGGTGCTTGAAGATGGTGGCCACCTGTTTAAAAAGTTAAACTCAAATTATTGAAGCGAGTCTTATTATTATAGCTCTGAGGTGTTTGCGATAAATACTTAACGCCACGATAAAGGTAGTATATGGCAGGTATAAAAAACGAATGGCTGCGTTAAACGCCAATTGGGCGGGAAAGACTAATGCAAAGACAAGAATATAAACAAAAACAAAGATAAAGATAAAGATAAAGATAAAGATAAAGATAAAGATAAAGATATAGATAAAGATAAAGATGAAGATGAAGATAAAGATAAAGATAAAGATAAAGATAAAGATAAAGATAAAGATAAAGATAAAGATAAAGATAAAGATAAAGATAAAGAT